GTGTGTGTGTGTGTGTGTGTGTGTGTGTGTGTGTGTTTATATGTGTGTTATGTGTGTACATGTGTGTATATGTGTGTGTGTGCTCGATCATCTTCGGGAAATACAAGCTTTATGGTGCGAATGCCTCTACATTGACATTGGTGTGTGTCGAGACTAATCGTTATCGATCGATATTGATTGGCATTGACAGTAGAGTTACTTACCATTCTTCAGCCACAGGAAGGTCATATCAGGAAAAAGAATTCGTTTAGTGGCATCCATAGAAGGTGTACCCACAAAGCGGCCTTGGAGCTCTCGAATTCTGAAAGTATCATCCTCTTGTAACTCGGAACATTCTGCTGACTCAGCTGATCGTAAAAAAGTGTCGTGGTGATAAGAAACATGCATCAGCGTGAATGCTCAATTGGTTGTGTAGATAAAAAACAAAGAACTTCATGTTCCACTCCCACACCACTTTGATGAGGGAACGCCGACTCTGGCAAAGTTCCTGATTACTTCTTAGCCGAAACCTACGTACTACCCTTTTTTACGGAGTGTGGGTACTTCTTCCCGAAAATCACGTCGCGCCCGCCACACCCTGAATTCCCGGTGGGAGGATACGGTAACCAACATGGAAGCACTGCCGCTTGCCATCGGAATTCTGGGAGAAGTACAGCCATTTTTCAACGTCTTGTGGGGGACGGTACGAACGTGCGTCCGAGGGTGCGCGCGGCAACTTGCGCGGCGATGTTCGTGACGATTTGTACGACTCCGACGCCAATTTTCGGGGCACAAACTCGAAGTAGGGTAGTTTAGTAGGGTCAAATGATTCTCCTAATCCACTCTATTTCAATTTTGAGCCCCAATGATAGGCGCCAAAGTCGTTCGAATCATCACGAACCTCGCCGCGCAATTTGCCGCGCGCATCCTCGGACCAACGTTCGTACACATACCCAACGCCTTGTTCGTGACTTGCAAAAAGTTTGGTGTAATTGCACACAAGATTCTTAAGTTTTCGTTGTTCGTTTGCGGCTTTCTCAGCATTTTTCTTCGGCATCTGTCCTGCTGTCATCGTTTACCTAGAGCTATTTTTAGAACTTTTTCGGAATATTTACTTATTGTTCAATTTGTGCTTTGTTTTCACCAGTCAATCATTTCAGAATGCCGAATGTAAATGTGAAATGGGGCAAAGAAAAGTATCAAGTTTTACTCGATTTTGATGAACCACCACTTGTATTCAAATCCCAACTATTTGCTCTTACTGGAGTACCTCCTGATCGCCAAAAAGTTGTCGTTAAGGTTAGTTTGCTTGAAAGTTGGCTTTTCAATCTTATTATTATGGCATGAAAAAATTACCCTCTAAATTTATCTAGTATGGGGGAAAAATGAAGTGAGGTCTTTTAGAAACCAGGGGATAGAGTTTCCACCTGAGCCTTAATGGTGGAGAAGCACTGGGGTGAGTGAGCGTCGAGATTATTACCATCGTGCGAAAAGCTGGGATAGGGTAAGATTTAAGCACCTATTCAACTGCCCACCCGGAGCTCCTTCCCTCCTAGGCTCAGGCCAAAAAGAAACTTTATTCCCTAGCTGAGAAGCGTTTCCTCGCACTTCCACGTGGCATAACCTTATTCTACGAGAGCGGACGATTGACTGTGGCTTCATATCTGGTTTTTTTTTAACGGTTAATTGTGTTTAAAAATTAAATCGTTATCGTCAAACTGTCTGCTCGTGCATTGCAGTCGAGAAAAGATCGTTTCAATATTTTGCTGCGTGAGAAATGTCTCTCCTAGCCTTTCGTGGTCGTCTTAAGGAGTATTTTCATTTCCCACTATCTTTACTATTTGCTTCATTTACTCACTTACTTTAAGAGAGGTCATTTTCGATGACGATGAATTTCTATACAATTGAATTGTATAATATTTGTAGGGTAAAACTCTGGGCGATGAATCATGGACTGGGATTACGATTGCGGAAGGTGCAATGATAATGATGATGGGAAGGTAAGACTGTTATCGACTGTTTCTTAGGAAATGACTCCATGTTCTTCTTTCTTTCTTGTAGTCTGAATCTAGCACGGAGAATCTTCAGTTTTCGATCCTTTCCATTGAATTATCTGTCTCAATTTAATGGCAGTCTGTTCCATCTTGCTCGGCGATTCTCTAGTTGGCTAGCTATGGGGGTGTTCAGAGGGCAGACTCGTTTCATCTTAGCAATGAATATTACGTTTCAGTGCTGATGCTGTTCCGGCTCCACCGAAACAAGAAGATGAAAAGAGGGAAGCAGCGGAAAATGAGGAGAAATCTGTCAAACTGCCAAACGGGTTGAAAAATCTTGGCAATACCTGCTACATGAATTCAGTTCTTCAAAGTTTCAAGGTAAACTATGTGGAGCGCCTCTTGATTTCTTTCTTTTAAACACTTTTTCGATGGCGCGTTTCTCGTTTCATCCGCTTTTGGGATCTTTCTACATACACATTGCCTAACTTGTAATGAGGTACTCTCACGTGGTCTCGCTCAGTTAATTGATCAAGAGAAATTGTAGAGAAGCGATGAATTTCTACTACGCTACTACTATTGCTACTTGGTCTCCGTTTACAATATCCCGAGCATTTCTGGCTGCTCATCCCAGCCCAATAACAAACATCGTTTGTAGTAGATTTTCCATAAGAAAAGCCTAATTCCAATGATGTAGTTGAAGTCAAAACACAACATCCCTTCAATTCGAGGTCGATAGATTGACTGAGGCATTAATACCTTATCCAAGTTGCTGTTCTTTCAGACCATTCCTGAAATCAAAGAAGGCCTCCAATGTCTACAGCAAGGCGGCTCGGAGACGGACGCAAATAAAAAAATGGCGATGGCTGTTAAAAGCGTGTACGAAATGCTCGACAATCCTCGACGGATTGATGAACCTCTGGTGCCGTTCTTCATGCTCCAAGTTGGTTTCAATTCAATTTTTTCCCGTTTTAATGTATACCTTCTTTGCATTTGGTCAAATTGAAACTTTAGGTAGCTGAATGTTTCCTTTTACAAAAATCCAACAGTTCTTATCTTATTTGCGATTACTTCCCCTATTTACGATCATTTTAGGCTTTGCATGGTATACTGCCACAGTTCAGTTCCCGTGATGAACATGGCCACCTCGAACAGCAGGACGCCAATGAATGTTTTTCGGAAATACAGAGGATGTTATTGAATGCCCTTTCAGCAAACAAAGGTGATTAGCGGACTTTGATTGTCTCATTGTTGCCGTCGTTATTTAGTATGCACAGTGGAGTACGCTTTTTCCATAAATATCCGTAAGCATTATCTTGGGGCAGGTTTTCGACTGGCAGTGACGTTTCTTTCAAAATTTCTTCAATGTTATTCCACGTTTCTTTCAACTTTTCAAATATTTTTCGATGTAGGCCTTTATAAAATGATGTATTAAATGGCAATTTTATATGACGTACTGTGCGCAACGCATCTTTTTATATAGATTTCTCCTCATAAAAACCTCATATTCAAAAGAAAGAGGTATTCTGTTTTGCAGAATCAGTTGGAAAGGATGTAAAGGAATTCTTCCGTGGACGATACCAAGTAACCCAAAAGTGCCTTGAATCCGACGAAGAGCCCAAACAAGTTACTAGTGAAGAGTTTTATCAGGTATCCCTTGATTATTTGTGCAGGGCTTTCTTCTATCCGCGAGACTAAGGCTATTTTTATGGTAATAGTATGGTTCGGTTAACTGTTTAATCAAATTTCAGCTTTCTTGCTTCTTATCACAAGAGGTTAGGTATATTCAAAGTGGGATCAAAGAGAAGCTCTCTGGAGAAATCGAAAAAACAAGTAATGTACTTGGACGAAATGCCAAATGGGAGCGACATGTGAGTTTATGATAAGGGGCTTCCATTTGTAACTTTCCACCTTTAACGCAAAGCGGCTGGTTCGAGATGGTTTCAGTTTATCTAGAATTCTTGCTTTTATCTTCTTTATTTCTTTATTTCCTTTTGATTACTCTTCGATTCAGGTACTTATTGATCGTCTGCCAGCCTATGTTTCTGTACAAATGGTCCGTTTCTTCTACAAGGAATCAAGCCAGGTAAACAAGTGTCTCGCGTTTCGGTTACGTTCAAAGTCTTGAGTAAATAGTATAAGATTATCTTTGAGCAAATGTTGATTTTTCTTCAGTTGAAATCGTTGTGTAGCTTTTTATCTGACCGCAACTGCGCAAAAATATCGTTACACCCACGCTGCTCAGGTTGTTTACGATCCCATCTGTTTGTTCGCGCGCACTCGACGGCTTGTGAAATGGCTTGTGCATACGTCAGAGACAACGGATGCTTCTTCTGCAACCTGGTTCTCATTGTTGGGTAGGGGCCTGACAAATTAGCCTCTCCGGGACTTGTTGATATCACGAGGGTAGGTACATGGACAGGTTGCTGTTATTGCGGCAATCAAACATTTGCTTCCTGGGAGAAGGAGTCTGAATCCGGGGAATGCATAGTACTCATATATCGCCTTGCAGCTATCCTTTTTATATCCTGTTCTCATGATCACGTCTTTTTTCACGTTTCGGGAATTGTAGAACGAATAGGGCATTCTGGGATGCGCTACGAAATCGAGGCAGCAGTGATTGCACTTTGCACCGACCCGTCATGCCAATGCTCGCTGGGATTCCGTGCTCAACAGCTTCTAATCGCATTCTATGATGTCTCACTTGCCAGGCACTCTTTCAGAACTACAGAATTTTTTTAATGCTTTATTGCTGCTGCTGCTGCTGAGGCTGCTTATTGCTCAGGCTGTCTATGGTTGTTAATCCAATCCAATAATCCATTTGTTTTTCCCAAACGCTTTTGTTATCAAACAATTGGGTATTGTTAAAGAAAAGTGCCAGATGTTAAGCTACCGAGAAAAAGGATTTCTGAAGTAAACTGTGAAGTAAGGTGTCCCAGTAACCATAATCAGAGAATCTCGGTTCCTTTTTTGACTATCGAATCGTGGGGATTTTTTTTTTGGTGGTAATACCTTCAAATCTTTCAGGTGAACGCAAAAATCTTGAAAGACGTGAAGTTCCCATTAATTCTCGACCTATGTGATATTTGTACGCCAGCATTGCAAGAACGGTTACGTCCAATGCGAGCCGCTGTGAAGGTGATTTTGAGTTGTTTTGTTTGCTTCTTTTCCTATATGAAGAATGTTTAGAAAGAAGAGGACGCTAAAATCGAACGTATGCGAAAGCACAAGATCGATGGCACGGATCCAAAGGTACGTTTTTCTGCATTTTCACAGTTTTGATCGGGATACTATCAAGAAATTTGTGAAACTGTCTGTTTACTCAACTTACGAAAGTGTTAAATTGGTGGAATGGTAAAGTAAAAAGTGAGAAATGAAGGCTTCACGTTCGTTTTTTGGTCATTTTTTAAAAAAATCTTGTAGGATGAAGTGTAATTTAGTTTTGCACTCAGTTTCAGTCAAACTTTTTTCTTCAGGATGTTGAAGATGACGGAAAGCCATTGCCGTTTTCATTCCCTGATGATGAAGGGAGCAATAACTCTGGATTCTACGAATTGAAAGTATGTGTTCAATTGTAATCCAATAATACTTGGACTTAGTATTTTTTTGTTCCTCTGTTGTTGTTTTTTTTTGTAGCTATCTTTGTTCCCTACTTTTAATTCATTGTACCGGACAAGAGCTTGATAAGTTTCAGGCCGTAATAACTCATAAAGGTCGGTCTTCGAATTCGGGACATTACGTCGCTTGGGTTCGCCTAGCTGAAGACAAATGGGCTATGTGTGATGACGAACACGTATCACCTGTAACATCCGATCAGGCAGGTTTTCCTTTGTATTTCTGCCTGGCCTCATAAAGTGAGACGCGCCCGCAGTTACAGCGCTGTATTCCCTTTCCATTGCCTTCGCTTGTGATTGTACTGGATGCGAAGGATACTTTTTAGGTGCTGAGGTTGTCGGGTGGAGGTGATTGGCATTGTGCATATGTCCTACTCTATGGACCACGTATAGTGAAGGAATATCCCGAGCTGAAGGAGGAAAAAGAGAATGTAGTGGAACAAACAAAGGAAATGGAAACTATGCAAACGAACTGACCATCCGTCCCCTTTCGTCCTTTCAACTCGCCTATAACTCATTTTCAATGCTTCTATGAATATGTCACCAGTAATATCTACGTGTCTGTGGACGTTCCTTCTCAACGCGTTTCGGCTGAGCGCTTTCTTCTGCTACGATGCTGGTGTTCAGGTTTTCTCAAAATGGTGATGTATATGATAAGTCCACTATCATAAATATATTTATTTACATGTTTATATTAACGATATGATCCAGTGATTGGAAGCACAGGTTCTCTATTCTATGGTAGTCGAAATAACACGTGAGGGATTGTGTGTCTAGAGGCGCCCCATTTGCCAATCTAGTACGCACCGCGACCGCCCGCGTACCAGACCTGTTGTCTCCTCTATGACTGTCTGGTTATTATTGCATGTGTGAAGAGCTGCATCAGTTGAGAGCAATTCTGGCATTTCTGTCGAAAATACAGTTCATGGTCATTATTGGGACCACGCTATTCCAGGAAAGTGTGGAGGTCGCAAAGGGAGGTTTTATGAAGACGAGAAAGCCGGTTGTTCAAGGGATCCAGCGATGTCACACTTTTACAATAGACGACTTCTTCTTAAGGCTTTCTTTTCGTGCTCGTCGGAACTTTCTGGACAGTGAAACATGGCGGAAAAAGTGCTTTCTTTTGGAGTTCTTTGAAGAAGGTGGACAAGGGCAGTAACCTGTATCTTTCTCAAGTGAACCGTTGACACCTGGTGGCCCAGGAGGTCCATCCAGTCCAGGGACACCCGGACGTCCCGGTTCTCCCACGTCGCCCATTCTTCCCACCTGTCCAGGAACTCCTGGCTCGCCTGCCCTGCCTGGCTGGCCAGGTGGTCCAGGGAGGCCTGGAGCGCCGGGAACCCCACGAGGAACCATTATGGCCCTCCCAGGTAGACCAGGGGCGCCCGGTGGACCTGGTTTTCCGGGCGGCCCTCGATCTCCAGGTGGACCGACTGATCCTTGAAGAGCTTTAGTGCACTTATGTGACCTCCCTGGAGGTCCTGGACGACCGTCCAGTCCCTTCATCCCTATGGGTCCGTCTGGTCCTCGTGGTCCAGGAGGTCCTATTGGACAGATGATGCAAGCAGCCGGCATTTTTCTCTCCAAGACTATCCCATCAACTCCTCTTGGGCCTGGTATTCCGTCGATACCGTCGTGTCCTGGAGAACCTGGTGGCCCCTCTTCTCCAGGTGGTCCCGTAGGGCATCGCTCCGAGAATAAAGAGCACTCGCAATGGCTTACGATCTCATTTTCTCGTTTTCGTCGATCTTGTAAAACTGGACCCATTTCGTTCCATGCCGCATCCGCCATTGTCTGAACATTTTATGGGATATTTTATGATAGAGGATGAGGCTAGCCATAAACGAATTCTTCTCGGTTGAAGCAAACGCACCTTGAAGTCACTGAGGTCATGAATGATATGGTCATAGAAATGGTTTATGTCCAGAACCATATAGATAGCGGTGATAATAGTGAACAGCGTTGTCAATGCTGTCACACCAGAAATCACTGAGAGCACCAAGAGGCGCATCTGAAATGAGGAAAATCAGTTGACTTGGTAGTACTAGAAGAAAATGTTTGACTTTCATTATGGTTGGGCAGGATGCTCTGGAGCCGGTCTGGGGGCTGCGGACTGTTCTGTAGTCTGGGAACAGAAAATTTAGTGTAATAAATGCTGATAACTAGACCACCTTGAGTACTGAGCAGTATTTCAGTGGGTAATGACAATGATTAGCATCAACAAGAAAAAATGGTGAGAGGCTCAAAGTTCAGAATGAAAAAAAAACTCCACCAAGGCCAGGTTGTGGGCGCTCTTTTGCCCATACAAAATTTCAGCGTATGAGGACCACAAACCCAAGTCAGGTCACCATCAAATTGTAATTCCAAAAAAAATTTGGAGTGAGTTTGTGAAACGTTTAGCGAAGTGGAACCAAGGTAGGACCCATACTAGCGAATTTGGAAGGCGAAAGATTTCTGTGAAATCCACCTAGGTAGAAGCAAAAATGACTGAGAGCATCAAGAAGCGCTTCTGAAATGAGGGAAATCATCTAGCTTGGAAAAATTCGAAGGAATTATTTGATTTCGATCTACATGGGTGGACAGGACGCTTTGGAAGCAGGTCTGGGAATAACGAACTGTTCTGTAGTCTGGAGACAGAGAAATGAACATTAATAAATCTTGACAAGTATACCGGGGATTGAAAACGGAATAGGATTTCATGTAATAGTAGTTATTAACAATAAGAGGAAAAGGTAAAAAGCTCGAAATTTGGATGGAAAAAATACGATCGAGTTCCGGTTTTGGGGGCTCTTTCTATTTGAAATTTCAGAGTATAGGGACCACAGATTCAAGTTTAGGTCCCATAAGTTAGGTATTGTGAAGAAAAATTCAAATAAGCTCAGTAGGAAAGAATATCAGTCGTTTTGTGAAGGTGGGCAAAGGTAGGGCCCAAGGTAAAAGGTATGGTCTGTCACAGAGTAATTGTTTACTGGTAGAACTCTTCTCTAAGCATAAGATGAGTAGGATAGGCCTTCGTTGGCTCGAATGGTAGTAAAGGACTTGGGCATTTCTAGTAAGAGGAAAGCGGAGAAGTCTAATGCGCGGATGAAAACTGGGGAAAAGCAAGTTGTGGGGAGCTTTGTGTGTTGTAGGTGATCAGAAGTAGCAAGGGTGCCCACTGAGAGTCGCACCTTATATAGCAGGATGCTGGTGCCGTAGACAATGTTTTTTGCCCCGATCAAAACCTGCACATCTAAACTACTGGATCACTAATGATCCGAGGTGAAGTGTCGGTTTTTGGTCCACTAACGAAGGCGCCGGACAGTAGTTTGTCCGATGTTCCGCTGTCTAAGGGATATTGGACCAGTTCGACGATACCCATCGAGAAGAATCGCTCTAAAACTTGGCCCTTCTCCCCTATTGCTTTTTCACTTTCACGAACTGAATCACTCTCACGGAATGGACGGCTATCAGGTCCGTTCGAATCGTTTTGATCACGCAGTCCTATTAATTACCCCTCATTATCTCATTATTCACTGACTGAGTACTATGTTGTTGACTACGGTAGGATTCATCTGGTTGTGTTTGTATCTGGCTTTTCCTCACGATGCTCCCAGAGAATCT